TTTAGTTGTTCTGCATTCACTCAGAAATAACTGTCCATTGCAGGTGTGTTCCTCTCAGTTTACACCAGCGCAAGTCACATTCAACATCACCCTTTTTCTGCACAAAGCAATGTTTTGTCTACTTTCATTTATAAATGTGACTTTTAGATGTGGTCACATTCGAACACATCTAAATGTTGATGATTCAAAATATGGAAAGACATGCAGGTCCAGTGTTTACAGTACAAGTCCTGTTCATATTGTTCCCTTGCACACACAAAAGGTGTTTCATGGAACTAATCATTGCTAGTTCTTTCATGGAAATGGATAAGTTGCAGGGATGGCATTTGGGTGACTAGAATATAATTGCAAATATGCCAGCTGAGAATTCAGTTGAGCACACTTTTCACTTTTAGTCACATGGCAGAGGTAAATTACCCTGGATTGCAATAATCTGATCTAATAATCTGACAGACAGACACACAAATAGATCGAAACTGAACTCAGTTGAAAAACACTACCAGAATAATCCTGTTATATGAGAATCCACTCAAAGACCCTGGCTATCCCCCTGGCTGGAAGCTTGTTATCTACACTACCTAGAGAGAACGAACCAGGGCTGACATCTAGCGGTCATTTCTCAAGTGGTTGTATGCTAGGGGATTTTATTTTTCTAGGGTGTTATCAATAAGCAGTGCAGGGAAAGCAGAGGCTGAACCTCATTTGAACAGGCAGGTAATGGGATTAAGTCACCAAATGCCCCTACTGCAAATAGGAAGAAAACAATCTCCTGACAATGTATCATTAAGGACAGATCAAAGTATTCTGCAGCGCCTTGACACTTGTCGTTCCTTCTGTTGCTGTAGACGTGCAAAGGAGTATTCAATGGGCGCGTCTACATGTTCATTAATGTGCTGTAGTTACGGTGCATTACATTTAATACTTGGTTAACCAAGCACTAAATCAATGCACAGTAACTTGTGCTACTGTGCAGCAGCACCAGCACATGGGATTTTAGTGATGCTTACTGCGCAGTAACCTAATACTACTGTGCAATAGAGCATTAGCACGGTTTTTGCCTGGCACGCTACTGGGCAGTGTTATTAGGCTACTGCACAGTTAGCATCTCGTGTAGGTGTGCCCAGTGAAGTGTATCCTGAAGCAAAACTCCCACAGAGGTCAGGATTTGGCCCAGTCATGCCGGTTCTGTGCTGTGAATAATGGCAGTTCCCTGAAGTTGCTGTTTATTGCCCTCCTGGCTCAGGGAGGTGATGGATTCATGTGTTTGGAGAGGTGAAGGGAAATGAGCTTGCAAACAGCTTGATCCAAGGGGCTTTAAAGTCACGTTGATTATTTATGTGTTCTATGTTTTATGTGCACAGATCATCTAATGGAAATGGCGAGTATTGAGCCCTAAGCCTTTGTCTTCAGCACATGCTAGTGGTTAACAAAGTAGTTCTGAAAGGGTTATGAGGAGAAAAAAAACGCTGCTGCAGAGCCCTGGGTTGTTTTTTCATCTGCTTCTCAGATCCGCAAGGAGACGGTTCCTGAAACTGGAGGTGGGAACCAGGTTTGGTTATGTGGTCCCAGGGCACTCCTTACAACTCACTTTAACAAGCCCTGGGAGACTTGTATCAGCTACAAGAAATTCCAGGCTACTGTTTGCAGACAGGACTGCTAATGAAAACCAGGGCTGCCTACAAGTAAGACACAGGCATCTCCTCGTAGGTCAAAGACAGGGCTAGGGAAGCAAAGGAAAAAGAATTAATTTCATCCTGTTGGAAAGGTATGTCTCCGATGCTTTGCACAGCCCTCACTAACATAATGAAGCTTGCAGGGGTCTCATTCTGTGGTGTTATAACTAAATTGCCAGCTACCGAAAGCTTGTCAAATTTGTGTCTAGAGACATTGTCTAATGAATCTGGGAGGTACCGTGGAAGATGAAGAGGAAAGGTGGCATTTGGGTTTAAGAAAGGAGTTGGAGCCAGGACTTCCAAGGTCTGCTCCTGGTCCATTCATTAACTTGCTGGTGACCCAGGGAAAGTCATGTGCCCTTTCTCTGTGCCTCAGTTTCCTTGGCTATAAAACAGGGATTAAGCTATCTACTCAGCAGAATGGGGAGCTGTGAGGCTAATTTACGGATGCATTTGGTGTGTCTAGTGAAAGGAGCTAGAAATGGACAGCACGGGTACTGTCCACTCTTCTTCATGTAACAAAAATAGTTTGAAGGGATTCTTTGAAGTGACAAAAGCGACAAACATCTTTGTAAACGTGGACACTTCTTGTGCTGCGGACCCACCTGAGTGTTCAATTAACACCATAAATATGCAGGACGTTGTCCTCTTCCTCCTCTACTTTATATGAGAGCAGGAGCCAGAGCCTACACTAGCTCATGCATTATCACCCATAGAATTACCAGCTAAAGGGCCAGCCGCAGGATCTTTATTGGTGATGGTAGCAGGTGGGTGAGGAAGGACCCAGCTGGATCCCACAGGCAGCTGGCAGTGCTGGCTGGCTGGAAGATAAGCCCAATGGCTCTATGTGTAAACCAAGCAGATTTAATGCTGAGCCCCTGAGAGATGTCACAGATGGAGCCCCAGGAGGCCAGTTCCCTACCATCACAAAACCACACTTTAAAAAGACAGGCAGTAATTAGAAACTTGGCCCCAGGATAGCTCTCTGCTATTTAGAGACACTGCTGTGTGTTTACTATGCAGGTAGGCTTGTGGTTTTTAAATGGCGATAAGAATAGTGAGGGGCAGATGTAAATACTTCCTCGCACGCATGCATCTGAGTGGGGGAAATAGCCTTTAACCTCAATCCTGCTGCCCACAAAGCTGATTTCCCAGCTTCCAGGGAAGCAGGTACCTGGAGACTCAAAATGCTGCTTTGCACTTCCGAGTATTTTAAGGATTAGGCTTAAAAAACACAAGCTCAATCTCCAACTGCTGAGCTTTGGGGCCCAGTTCTGACTAATTGCTGCAAATGAAGGGTGCTCAGCAAGGGCCCCATTGCTCCTACGGGTGGCTGCAAGGGGCTCACCCGTGCTAGTGTTCTGTGGGATTTTGAGTATTGCCTCAAGAGAAATAAAAAAGCCAGGAATGTCTTCAGCTAACCGGGTAAGAGGAGGAGTGAAATGCTCATATCCCTAAGGGGTGATTTCCAATTCTCATCACAGCTGCTTCTAAGAGCCTTCCCAGCCAAGGACGTCCCTTTTCTGCACCTCTCGCTCCCTTTTCCATTCTCCCAGCTGAGAAACATGACAGTGTCTCACTCACCCCGTCCTGCAGGTCAAGATCTTTATCTCTCGCTAGGAAATTCCTTTACTCAATGATCAATTTAGCTTTGAAATCACAACTTGTGTCCCCAAATGGAGAAAAAAAAATACTGTTTGGATCCCTTTATTGTCCTAGGCAGGCAACAGGAACCTGTCTCTACAGACAGTCTTGCGCTTTATTCTAGCTTCAAGAGACCTCCTCAGCCAAAGCCCAAGCTTCCAGCTGAGAAGAGAGCTTGTCCCTCGTACAAAGGCAATCAGGACTCATAGAAGAGATGATATTTTTTATTAGGCCAACAACATTTTTACAAAAAAAAACCCTTTTTTCGCAAAAACCTTGTTGGTCTAACAGAAGGTATTATCTACTATGAGTCCTGATTGCCTTTTCCTCTAGACCAATATGGCTGCAACCTGGATATCTGTCCCTTGTATCTTGGTCTAATAAAAGATATCAAATTCACCCAAGGAACCTTGTCTGCCTATGTCCCTTGTATAGGCATTTGCCTTGGGGCCCGAAGCTTTTTGTCTCTGGCTTATAAAGAGGCTTGGGGGACCGGGAAGAAAAACGTCCTGCTGCAGGTTCTTCTTAAGTACTTAAAACAGGAGTCAGAGTGCCAAAAACACCCGGGACCTCGACTTGTAAGACGTCGGTGTGCCAGGGACTGGTGGTGGGGGAGCCAGGAGGGACCCAATCTTTATTGTGGCAGCGCAGCCCCATCCCCTTTGCAGCGTCCGCCCCAAGACGTGCACGCCAAGCAAAGTGCTTTTGAGTGCCGCGCTCCGCACCTGTGCCGGGGGGCTGCCTACCCCTGGCTATGCAGACGCGGATCCCAGAGGCACCTCCACTGGAGTCAGCGGAGAGAAAAGAAGCAGGCTCCTAGGGTCTGCTTCTGATCCCCCCGGTGTCACCCGGGGAGGGAAACGCACACCAAGCTCCGGGGCCGGGAGGCAGAGCAGAAGGAGGCCCCTGCAGCCCACCGAGCCGGGCCCGAGGGCCGAAGGAGTTAATCCTGGGAGAGTAAACTGCTGGAGTTGACACTTAAAGAGCAGAGGCGGGTCCTGCGGCTCCTGATTGGCCTCAAGTCCCATCCAAAACTTTTTTTTTTTTCTTCCCTTTTTCACTCCGGCTGGCAGGGGAGGGGAGTGCGGGATAGCGAGAGATCAAAAATAAACCTCTTATGTCAAAGCCGGGGAAAGAAGAAAGTATAAATACCGAGGACTGCGGAGGAGCCGCTGCATGCGCAGGGCGGCGC